CCCCCCCCCCCCCGGGAAATCTGCCACAGTCAAAAAGCTGGCTTCAGACACTTTTTTCCCCCCTGCATTTTGATATCTTCGCCGAGTCTTTTCCAGAACCCTCAAAATTAGAGGGAGTGGGTGGGGCTCGGGTGGGGCTCGGGACCCCAGATCATTGTAAAAGGAGTGGAGTTCTAAGCATAATGTCATGTTTTCTCCTAAAAGCATTTATTAATGTTACAGATATGTCAGCACAGCATGGGCCGCAGCCTAAGGGGTTGGAGACCCCTGCTTCAGTGGCGCCCAACGTGGGACCTCCAGTCTCTTTCCCCAAAAAACACAGGAGGCATGAAGTTAGTTCTCTTTAATGTGCCTTGTGCCTGTACATGTTACAAAACACAATCGGGTATAAAAGCAGCATCTACCGTAGTCGAAAGGGTACAGCAGAGCTAAGGCCACTGGAGGCATCATATGGGCACCGGACCCCAATCTTGGGAAGGGGGTGGAGAGGGGTGGCAGGGCAGGGAAGAAGGGCTGCGTCTGGCCTGCTTTGCACAGCGCTGCGATCTTCCTCGACCGTTGCCGCTTGAACGTTGCGCGGATTTCAACTTTCAGAATACAGGCAGTCCTCGATTTACAGCCGGTCACTTAGCGACCGTTCAGAGTTAACGACTTATAACCCCAAAAAGGGGACTGGATCTGAAGTTCTGAAGGTCCCCATCCCCATCACGGTTACGTGATCACCACGGCCCTATTTGCGGCATCCCCTGAACCATCCCCGCGATTTACAACCGTTTGTCCCAAAGTAAGCAAGTTCCAGTTTTCGGCGTCATTGCGCCGTAGCGAGCAACGGGTTCGCGTGGTTATTGCGGTGTTTGCTTCACCGCCGCTGAACAAAATGTCGTGTGTCGGGCCGGTTGCAGGATGCTGGGCTGCTGCAAGCAGTAGTAAATGTGTGGCTGACCCGGTTTACAGCCCTCGTGGGCAGGCTCTGTTACGGTCGAAATTCGAGGACTGCCGGTACCCCCAACTAGCCATGAGAAACACACATCTGGAAACGGCCACGGTTGAGAAACACTGGAATGGCCCAGCCCTACCATGCTCCACCCCATCTGGCCTTGGATGCGAATCCCCCTGACCCATCTTCCGCCAGCGAGCAGGCACACGCCTCCCTACAAGAAGCTCTCCTAAATTATAAATAAACTAGTTCCTACGTGAATGGCTTTAAATTAAGAAAAAAAAACCCCACGTATTCTGACTTGCTCTTCCTGAACATTCCTCGTGTCTTCTCGCCAACCATGATCCCTTTTGCCATTCCGGTTCGATTCCTCTGGCACGGCACCCACATCGGCTTAGCAGACAAACTAAGGTCATAGTATCCTCCTCGCTGGCTCTTCGGAACTGAAAACTCGACATGATGCTAACCTGTTTCTGCTCGCTGAGGAAACTGCGTTGCGTTTCCGAAAAAATGTCACTGGTTCCTGAAAAAAACCACCGTGACTCGGCTAAACCATGATCTGGAAAGATCGGGCAGGGCCTCTCTCCATTTTTACTGGGGTGGGGGGACACCGCAATGCCCACAGCCTGCAAAGTCCACACTGGACAGGTTTAATAACAAAACCAGGGTGAAATCGATGGCATCCCGTCCCTGGTCCTCAAGCCTATCTTTGCAGCAGCCAGCGAGCCATTTTTGGTAATCTCGGCTTACGACAGCCAGCTTCTCTACCCTGCAAGCTTACGTGCCGGAATAAATAATTATGTACAGCAGAAATAAATACGACAGGGAGTAACTGTGCACTTTTCATGCCGGCCGCAGCTCACTGGCCCAGGCTTCCGGCGGTTTAATCGGTCCCACTTGTTTCCTAACCTCTTTCCGTAGACTTCCAAGGCCCCCAATTGCACCCTTGCAATCTCACCAGAGTAGCTCGGGAGACAACGGGGGCGGCTAAGACGGCACTAGGGGAGCCCTCCCATGCCTTCCTCAGCAGATCCTTTCGGAACCTGCCCAAACGGACCAAAAATGAAACGCCACTGCAAGGTTGCTGCAACTGCCCTGCATGGCTCGCCAAGTGTTGTTCCCCAGTGTCCACCCATTGCAAAAACTCTCCTGCATGGCTCGCCAAGTGTTGTTCCCCATTGTCCACCCATTGCAAAAACTCTCCTGAATGGCTCGCCAAGCGTTGTTCCCCAGTGTCCACCCATTGCAAAAATTCTCCTGCATGGCTCGCCAAGCGTTGTTCCCCAGTGTCCACTCGTTGCAGCCCTTCCAGAATGGTGGACCTGGCCTTACCCCGCCTCGCCCCAAATCCAGAGAAGACCCACGCCTGGAGGATTTGGCATGGGCCTCCTTCCTGTTCTTCCACTGGACAGAAAAGTCTGCCAACCGTCTTCCCCGTACCGCCGCGTGACCAGAAGGAGCTCGAGGAGGTGGGACGGGTGGGGAGGGGGCTTCCTAGTCCTCTTCATCTGCCCACCCTTTCAGTCTCGCTTCTCAAGCACCGACGGTACATAAACCAGGTTGAGTTCACTGCCGAAGTTGCAGACGATGGCCGCGTTCTCCAGCACCAGGATCTGCCGGGCCGGTTGCGATTCGTTACTCTTGCCCAGGTAGACGGTCTGTAGCAAGTCGCCGTAGCCAATGTCCCAGAAGGAGACGCAGCCCTGACCGCCGGTCACCAGCAGATTGTCTGAGATCACACCTAGGCTGGCCCCACAGCCCATGTCCTGCGCAGAGAGGAAAGGGAGGGTCAAAAGTGGGGCTCGGCGGGGAGAACGAGAAGAAGCAGACAACGTCGAACCTTCAAACTCTGCACTTCCCACGTTCAGAGGATCTGCGTCGCTAGGCGGCGAAGCAACACAGTTCGTCCTCGAATTACGACCAGTGGTTTAGCAAACAGTGGAAGTTACACCCGCACCGAAAAATGTGGCTCGCCACCAATCCTTGCATATCATATAGGGCAGGGGGTCTTCAACCTTGACCACTTGCGGACTTCAGCTCCCAGAATTCCTCAACCAGCACAGAAGTCCACAAGTCTTTAAAAGTTGTCAAGGTTGCAGACCCCTAACTTAGAGGATTAACATTCTGGCAATTTGGCAACAGGTATGCTTTCAGGTGATCACAATCGGAAACCTTCCTAGCTCGCTGTTTAGCAACCGGCATGTTGGGGTTGGGGTGTCGCGGGGGTCGTGCAATTCCCTCTTGCGACCTTTAAAAAAAGAACCTGTAAATTCCCTTGCATCTGGGTGGAATTGGAGCGACTGGACGGAGCTGAGATCGAACTCACAGCTCCCGATTATGAGGCCACCACGCCGTTCTACTTAACAACTGCCTCAGTTAACAACAGAAAATGTGGGTTCCGTTGTGGTCGTAAAGCGAGGACTCCCTGTAACTTCAGTGAACCTCGTTTACTGCTCTTTGTGTTCAAATTGCACAGCCCCAGTGTCCCATTTTGAGCCACGCAGCAACGTCCCCTAGCGAATCTCAAAGGGGACAAGGAGAGGGGCGACCTCAAACAGAAACAGACTTTTCGAATCGGGCGCTCCCCCCAAAGAAACAGACGAACTTGTTTCGGACCTCCTGGTGGGAGCTTCCAGGGGTGGCTGGGAATTCTGGGAAATGTTGAGCACCTCTCCAGCAGAGACCCAGCGGGGAAAGACGGGACAGGAACCTCACCTGCTGAATGGAGTAGTGTTTGATCCCCGAGGTCCGGTCCCAGATGCTAATCACGTCGTCCAAGCCGCTGCTGATGACGCACGAGGTGGTGCAGGTGAGGGACGTGACGTCGCCCCGGTGTGCGCAGATGTGACTGACTCGGCTGCCCGTCAGCACGTCCCAGAGGCAGATGGCGCCGTCCTGGCCCCCGCTCGCCAGCACCATGGTCTAGAGGGGGGAGGGAAGAGGGGGAGGAGTCAGGTCTCTTCATGGCCTCTGTCCAGAGAGGGTGAGGATAGAGGGAGGCAGGGATGGATGGATGGAAGGAAGAAAGGAGAGGGAGAGAGGAAGGAAAATAGAACGAGGAAGGGAGGGAGGGAGGGAAGGAGGAAAAAAGAAAGGAAAGGAGGAGAAAAGGAAGGGAAGGAAGCAAGAAAGGAAGGAAGGAGAGAGAGAGGAAGGAAAATAGAATGGAGGGAGGGAGGAAAATAGAAGGAACAAAGCAAGGAAGGAAGATAAAAAAGAAAGGAAAAAGGGAGGGATGGAAGGAAAGGGAAGGAAGGAGAAAGGAAGGAAAATGGAATGGAGGGAGGGAGGAAAATAGAAGGAACAAAGGAGGGAGGGAGGAATATAAAAAAAAGGAGGCAAAAAGGAAGGAATGAAGGGAGGGAGAGAGGGAAGGAAGGAAAGAAGGAAAGAAGAGGGAGGGAGGAAAATAGAAAGAACAAAGGAAGGAAAATAAGGAAAAAAGAAAGGAGGAAAAAAGGGAGGGAGGGAGAGGGAAGGAAGGAGAGGGAGAAAGGAAGAAAAATGGAACGGAGGGAGGGAAAATAGAAGGAATAAAGGAGGGAGGGAGGAAAATAAGGAAAAGGAGGAAAAAAGGAAGGAAAGAAGGAGGAAAAAGGGAGGGAAGGAAGGAAAATGGAACACAGAGAAGGAGGAAAATAGGAGGAGGGAGGAAGATAAGGAAAAAAGGAAGGAAGGAAGGCTCTACTGCCAGGGGAAACCGGAAATGAGCAATGGTCCCTGACAGGATCATGGAATAACACAGTTGGAAGGGACCTCGGAGGTCTTCTAGTCCAACCCCCTTGCTCAGGCAGGAGACCCTTACCAAATCACGGAACGACTTGGAAGGGACCTCGGAGGTCTTCTAGTCCAACCCCCCTGCTCGAACGGGAGACCCTGACAGGATCGTAGACTCACACAGCCGGAAGGGACCCCAGGAGGTCATCTAGTCCAACCTCCACCCCCCCCTGCTCGAGCAGGAGACCCTTACCAGAATCACAGAGCCGGAAGGGACCCCGGAGGTCATCTAGTCCAACCCCCCCCCCCGTTCGATGGCCCGCGCCTTTCAGCCAATCCCTCTCCTCCTGGTGGGGCCCTCCACCCGCTGTTCCCTTGACGCTCTTCCCCCACCTGGTCGACGTAGACGGCCGTGATGGCGCCCGAGTGGCCTTGCAGGGTGAAGAGGCAGCACGAGTCCTCCAGACGATACACCTGGACGGAGGAGCGCGGCGGTGGAGCAAAGGGGTTAAGGGTTAGGGTTAAGGGCCCCATCGCTCTCTTCCCGATTTGCCCGTCCGAGGAGGACCTGCCAGGGCAGGACCAGAAGGCACCGCCAAGAGCGAAGAGGGCTACCCCAACGTGGCGCCCAATCTGGCGCCCAACCTGGCGCCCAATGTGGGACCTCCCTCGCCCGCCAAGCTTCTCACCACGATCTTCTCGAGAAGATCTGGTGGAGGCATCTCAGTTGCTTCTTCCAGACTTCCCTTAAGAGCCCAAGACCCCCGGGGCGAACGGGACACTAGGGGTCCCACCCTAGCTGGGCGGGATCCACCATCCCTGGCTGAGCCCAAGGTCTACCCCGACCCCTTCCTCACTCGGAGAGTGTGGTCCTGGCTGCCGGTCACCAGTCGTCCGGCCGCAGCCTTCAGGGCGGTGATGGGTTTTTGGTGAGCGCAGGTCACCGTGTGGGTCAGGTGACAGGCGAGGACGTCGCTGGCGCTGTAGACCGGCGGGGACGGGAGGCTGTTCCTGCCTAGGGGGGCTGGGAAGAGAGAAAAGGGAAAAAGAGAGCGAGAAAGAGCAAGAGAGAAAAAGAGAAAGGGAAAGAGAAGAGTAAGAAAGAGGACAGACAGAGAAAAAAAGAATACAGAGAGGGGAAGGGTGAAAGGGAAAGAGGGAGAAAAGAGAAAGAGAGACCGAGAAAGGGAAAGAGAAAAGGGAAAGAGGCAGAGAAAAAGAGACCGAAACAGAGAGAGAGAGAGAGAGAAAGAAAGAGAAGTAGGAGAGAAAGAGAAAAACAGTCGAAGGGAAAGCGAGAGAGAGGAGGAAAGATAGAAACAGAGAAAGGGAAAGAGAGAGCGAGACAGACAAAGAAAAAGATAAGTATAATACAGGGAGAGAGAAAAAGGGCGAGAGAAAGGGAAAGGGAGAAAACAGAAAGGGAAAGAGAAAAAGAAAGCGGCAAAGAGCAAAAGATAAAGAGAGAAAAACACAGAAAGAGAAAAAGAAACAGGAGGAGAGAAAGAGAAAAACAGAGCCGGAGGAAGGGAGAGGGAGAGACACAGAGAGAGAAAAAAGAAAAAAAGAAAGAAAAAGTAAGAAAGAAAGAAAGAGAAAGAAAGAAATAAAAAGATAAGTATAATACAGGAAGAGAAAAAAGGGTGAGAGGAAGGGAAAGGGAGAAAACAGAAAGGGAAAGAGAAAAAGAAAGTGGCAAAGAGAAAAAGATACAGAGAGAAGAAAAGAGAAAGAGAAAAAGAAACAGGAGGAGAGAAAGAGAAAAACAGAGCCGAAGGAAGGGAGAGGGAGAGACACAGAGAGAGAGAGAAGAAAGAAAGAAAGAGAGAGAAAGAAAAAGATAAGTATAATACAGGAAGAGAAAAAAGGGCGAGAGAAAGGGAGAAAACAGAAAGGGAAAGAGAAAAAGAAAGTGGCAAAGAGAAAAAGATACAGAGAGAAGAACAGAGAAAGAGAAACAGGAGAGAAAGAGAAAAACAGAGCCGAAGGAAGGAAGAGGGAGAGACACAAAGAGAGAGAGAGAGAGAGAGAGAGAAGGCAGAAAGAAAGAAAGAAGGAAAGAAAGAAAGAAAGAAAAGAAAGGAAGGAAGGAAGGAAGGAAGAGAGAGAAGGAAGGAAGAAAGAAAGAAGAAAGAGAGAGAAGGAAGGAAGGAAGGAAGGAAGGAAAGAAAGAAAGAAAGAAAGAAAGAAAGAAGGAAGGAAGGAAGGAAGGAAGGAAGGAAGGAAGGAAGGAAGGAAGGAAGGAAGGAAGGAAAGAAAGAAAGAGAAAGAAAGAAAGGAAGGAAGGAAGGGTTAGGGTTAGGGTTAGGGTAGAAATTTGATAAATAAGGAAGGAAGAAAGGAAAGAAAGAGAGAGAAGGAAGAAAGAAAGAAAGAAAGAAAGAAGAAAGAAGGAAAGAAAGGAAGGAAGAGAGAGAGAAGGAAGGAAGAAAGAAGGAAAGAAAGAGAGAAGGAAGGAAAAAAGAAAGGAAAGAAAGAGAAAGAAAGAAAGAAAGAAAGAAAGAAAGAGTGAACAGTCTGTATCTCATTCAAATCCCAGAATCCCCCAGCCGGCCATGCTTTAAGAGGGGAGGATTCGAACTCCCGACTGACCTTGGAAGGGAGTGGGGTGCCTGGATGGGGGGGTCCTCAAGGAATAGAAATCCAGGGAGCCGTTCAGCCTGGCAGCCACGATCCTGATCCGGAGGAAAGAGAAAGAAAGAAAGAAAGAAAGAAAGAAAGAAAGAAAGAAAGAAAGAAAGAAAGAAAGAAAGAAAGAAAGAAAGAAAGAGACAAAAAAAAAAAAGCCTCTGGTTTGAAATAAAACTCAAATGAATATTAAAAAAAATTGTCATTTCCCAGAAGCCTGCTTCGGAGGGCCAGAGTGGCCAAGATGGGGGGGGCGGCCTGTCAGTCATCTTACGGGACCCGCCTCTTCCCCTCCCATTTCCTTTCGACAAATTTGGATTAACGTTTCGGTTGGGAGATTTTATTTGGATACGGTCCAGAGTGTGAGAAGGGAGGGGCGGGGTTGCAGAGGAGGAGGAGGAGGAGGAGGA